CTCCATGGGTTGAAAAATTTGATTTCCATTTTTTTATTTTTATGTGATTTTGTTGTCAGCACATTCAACTATGTAAAGAACAAAGTATTTCAGAAGAATATTTAATTCATTCAGATCTAGGATGTGTTCCCTTTATTTTTTTGAGCAGTGTATTTGTTATATAATATTATATATTTCTTATATAAAATGCATTTTTGTAAATCATTGTTTGTCAGATTATATAAAATTACAATAGTGTATTGTAATATATTACAGCTTTATTCAGAACAGCAGTTACATTTCACATGTGAAATATTTTAAAACAATGAAGCTTATTGTTCAAAATAATTTTATGGAATAAGTATGAGAGGTCAACAGGAATTATTTCTTATAAGCATAAAGTTATCACTTATTAAAATATACTTTTTCAAGAATATATTTTTGTCTGAAGAAAACTATTTAGAAACTCTGTAGGTCATGTATTATTATATACCAGTTATTATAACTTGTGTTGACTTGCAGGACCAATGTTTATCTATTTCTTTTTTTTTTTTTTTTTTTTTTTTAAACACTTTTTTTTTTATTGACAATGTGGCATAGACACATATTTTGTATTTTCTTCTGAATGATACAGTTAAAAAAATTTATTATTATTTATTTTAAACCAATGCAAAGTACATTTTATTAGCATATCTGCTTTCCCCCAAAAAATAGCCAAATGGAGAATAATGTGGCTGCAACTCACTTTATAAAGCAGGCATGCTCAGGAGGTTTGAGTATATTTCAAGCAAACATTAATATAGAGAAGACTTTTAGAAGAACATTTTCAAAGAAGAATTTCATAAACCTCTAGGAATGGTAAAGCATTAGAACTGTCTAGCGAATTAAAATAATTCAAAATACTCCCAGTTTGTGTTAAATGCATATAGGGTTTATTCTCTAAACTCTGAATTTGAACAAAATTCAATCTAAGTAGCAATATGTAGGAAAACATAACTGCTCTGGAAAAATTGTCCAACTCATCTATAGTCAAAGCTTGGCTATTTTAGCCAGAGGTAATGACTTAATTTGAATTTAGAGTTTAGTGAATGCGTTTTCTAGTGATTGATCAAAGGAGCTCTCTCTGAAAACAAAGTGTATATGTATACATGGAAGAAAACATAAAGTGTAATAAAATTATTAAAATACATGAAAAAAGCTTTTAATTCTTCAGAAACAACTTGAAAATGGAATACAACTGAAATAGATGTGTTTCATTTTTTGTTAATTTTTAAGATTGTGAAAGTATTGTGCTGCTTTAAATATAGTACAGAACTAATTAATTAAAAAAAATATATGTGTTCTCTTGTTAAACTAAATTTCTAGACTATAAAATGACAGATGTATCGCATATGAGCTTTAGAAACATATGCAGTACATATAGTTGAAAGTTGCTGTGGTTTTTTTATTTTTATTACTGGCTTGTTTAGAAATATACTGTACAATAAAACCACATACAAAGAGAAAGCACACACTTGGTTCACAATCTAGTGCTGTGAAGACAAGTGTTTTTTTACAGACTAACTGCCTTCTCTCAATCCCAGGTGTCTCTGTAATACCAAGCACTGACTATGTTTTCCTTACAATAATTCCGTAACCCCGTACCTAATGGCAAAAATTTTGCAACCTACTTCAATAAAAGGATTGATGAAAAAGAAAAATGAACTTCAGAATGTTTCTGAGTTCAAGTCTCCATACAGTAGCCAAGGACAGTTACCATACATTAACCAAGGACATTTGCCATAAAGTTACCATACAGTAACCAAGGACATTTCCCAGATAGTTACCATACAGCAACCAAGGTCTTTTCCCATACAATTACCATACAGTAACCAAGAGCTTTTCCCATAATTACCATACATTAACCAATAGACATTTGTCAAGTTTACAACATAGCCTGTTTTTGAGCAAATTTTTGTCAAACTTGTTTAACATGCCCATGATGAGTCTGAAGATCGGGGGAATAAATGAGTATATCATCCAGATATACCAATACGAAAGTATAAATGTAGTCTCTGAGAACATCATTAATGACCTTATGGGAACACTTTTTTATTTGGGAAGACCAATCCTTGGGTAATCTAGTCCTCTACAGACGCTATAGAGATGACTGTTTTTTTTATTTGGGAAGGAGAAGAAGAATGTCTATTGGAATTTTTTAAATACATAAACACTAACGATTTTAACTTATCTTTTACCCATAAATATCACCGTACAGAAATAGATTTTTTTAGATTTGGTGACCTCAAAACAAGGACTTTTTTTAAAAGTGTGGATGTCAACAGTTTTATCCTAAACTCGAGCTATCACTACCCACCTTAGACCATTAATGTTCTGTTGGGTCAATTCCGCAGAATCAAAAAGAATTGTACAGACGAGTCAGTCTGTCAAAAACAAATTGAAACTATTAAACAACAATTTGAAGAAAAAGAATAAAATAAGGAACTATTGAACAAATCAATACAGGAAGTCAATAAGTTAGATAGAAAACAAACATTAGAACATTGGGAACAAAAAACTGTAGAAAATAATTTCAATTGTCCCCTTGTTTTAAACTACAGTTCGCAATCCACACTTCTAAGGAAATTAATACAGAAAAATTGGCATTTTCTTTCTCCAGGATCTTCTTTTAGGCACAGCCTTGCCTCCTAAACTTAAAATAGTTTTCAGAGAAGCACCAACTATTAAAAAAAAAAATAAAATAAAAAGTACACACTTTTCAAGCCCCAGAAATAAAAAAAACCTGTAAAAAGGTGTTCTCTTATTAAACTAAATTTCTAGACTATAAAATGACAGATGTATCGCATATGAGCTTCAGAAACATATGCAGTACATATAGTTGAAAGTTGCTGTGTTTTTTTTATTTTTATTACTGGCTTGTTTAGAAATATACTGTACAATAAAACCACATACAAAGAGAAGGCACACACTTGGTTCACAATCTAGTGCTGTGAAGGCAAGTGTTTTTTTACAGACTAACTGCCTTCTCTCAATCCCAGGTGTCTCTGTAATACCAAGCACTGACTATGTTTTCCTTACAATAATTCCATAACCCCGTACCTAATGGCAAAAATTTTGCAACCTACTTCAATAAAAGGATTGATGAAAAAGAAAAATGAACTTTTAGAATGTTTCTGAGTTCAAGTCTCCATACAGTAGCCAAGGACAGTTACCATACATTAACCAAGGACATTTGCCATACAGTTATCATACAGTAACCAAGTGTCACGATTCCGGAACCTAACACGCTAACAGGTCACAGAGAGTAAGGGTGCTATACCGGTCCTTAGAGTGGCCGGGCTAAGCACACTAAGAATAGTCAGGAGACAAGCCAAGTAAAGGGAGCCAGAGAGGAGACGCCGCTCGCCGAGAGGTGAGACGAGGGGAGACCGCGGGCGGCGACGGACTGAGTGGCGTGCAGCCTCCCCTCCTAGCCGCCCGCGGATCCCTGACACCAAGGACATTTCCCAGATAGTTACCATACAGCAACCAAGGTCTTTTCCCATACAATTACCATACAGTAACCAAGAACTTTTCCCATAATTACCATACATTAACCAATAGACATTTGTCAAGTTTACAACATAGCCTGTTTTTGAGCAAATTTTTGTCAAACATGTTTAACATGCCCATGATGAGTCTGGAGATCGGGGGAATAAATGAGTATATCATCCAGATATACCAATACGAAAGTATAAATGTAGTCTCTGAGAACATCATTAATGACCTTATGGGAACACTTTATTTGGGAAGGCCAATCCTTGGGTAATCTAGTCCTCTACAGACGCTATAGAGATGACTGTTTTTTTTATTTGGGAAGGAGAAGAAGAATGTCTATTGGAATTTTTTAAATACATAAACACTAACGATTTTAACTTATCTTTTACCCATAAATATCACCATACGGAAATAGATTTTTTTTAGATTTGGTGACCTCAAAACAAGGACTTTTTTTAAAAGTGTGGATGTCAACAGTTTTATCCTGAACTCGAGCTGTCACTACCCACCTTGGATCATTAATGTTCTGTTGTGTCAATTCCGCAGAATCAAAAAGAATTGTACAGACGAGTCAGTCTGTCAAAAACAAATTGAAACTATTAACCAACAATTTGAAGAAAAATAATAAAATAAGGAACTATTGAACAAATCAATACAGGAAGTCAATAAGTTGCATAGAAAACAAATATTAGAACCTTGGGAACAAAAAACTGTAGAAAATAATTTTAATTGTCCCCTTATTTTAAACTACAGTTCGCAATCCACACTTCTAAGGAAATTAATACAGAACAATTGGCATTTTCTTTCTCCAGGATCTTCTTTTAGGCACAGCCTTACCTCCTAAACTTAAAATAGTTTTCAGAGAAGCACCAACTATTAAAAAAAAAAAAATAGTACACACTTTTCAAGCTCCAGAAATAAAAAAAACCTGTAAAAAGGTTTT